CATCTGGGTTTTCAGTACCGTCATCAGTACCATCATCTGGATTCTCAGTACCGTCATCAGTACCATCATCTGGTGTAGTAGTGCTATCATCAGAAGCACCAGCACCCTCACCTGGAGGAGCATCATCTTCAGCACGAATAGCTAAAGCAGCAATGGATGGTGGAGGACCCGCACCAGCAGCAAATGAAATCGTCGCTGCTTGAGTAACACTTAAAACAGCAAGTAAAATATGAATGTTCAACATTTCTTATGTTTGATAATAATACAAAAAGAAAGCACCTTAAACGAATTAAAGTTCGACATGACGAACTTCACGAACATATTTATATATCTTTTCAAAAGGAAGAACACTTGGTTCAGGAAACGTTCGCTGCTTTGGGTATGCGGGTAAATGGGAGGACTAGTGCTATTAATCGAATATCACCGTCAATATACCATGTGTTGCTAAATAGGGTTTGTTGTGGTTGCTAAAATTAGGGGCTTTGCCAAGACATACTTAAGCCCTTCTGCATAATACCATATTGCAATTTGCTATATTTATAATTCTTTTAAAGCAAGAAAGCTAAAACCCAAAGGAGACAAATGATCAACTCACTTACTAGATCACGTGTGATGAATGAACTTTCCCCACAAATAAAATCAGGATAATTAAATTTAGAAATTCCAAAAAAAAAAAAAAAAAGAAAACAATCCATTTCCTGAAAGTCTAGACTCCAAAGATTTATCGAGTTTTCCTCTGTATCGCTTCATGTCATCAAAGTTTTGGGATCGTCACTCATATTCCACAACCACCTTATTGTTCCACTATTTGCTGAAATTATCTTTCATATTCAGTAGGTTAAGAAATTACATCAGAATTTTATTCTTTGAAACAACTTTTGACAAATGATAATATGGAATTTGCTTCTTTTACAATTCCAATGTGTAGTTATAAATATCAGTGTTGGTCTCTAGAAGAGGGTGCCAGAACGAAGGATGATGGAGAATTCGACATCAAAGAACATGTTACTTCTCGGGTTTAGAAGATTTTGTATCAATATTATCAATATGTTTCTTTTGTTTACAAAAGAACGAACGATCACTTTTCTTTTTACTTCGATTTAATTATATCCTATTCTTGAATTTCGATTATACAGATGAAAAATCCTCACTGAAGGGGAGATGCCATTGGATTTTCAACTATTTCAAACGTCTTAAATTTTCTGGTTCGTAGTTTGGTATTTTGGAGTTTATTTTTACCAACCTCAGTGATGTATCAATGTAAACATGTTTCTATTTCTTTGTTTTTCTTTTTGATTATGTTATGATCTATTTTCAACTCTTAATATTAATATTAGTATTCTTTCTCATTCATTTTGTCATTGTTGTTGTTATTGTTGATTTCTTTTGCACTTAATCATAAAAAAAAAAAAAATTTAATTAGTTTACGAACTGAAAGAGAAGGATAAATTTAATAAAGGTCGTGTTGACACCAAATCAAATTCAACGGTGAGTTTGTTACAATACACCCAGACTTTCAAATACAAACGCGGGAAGGAATAGTTATATAATTACAATAAGCCCGCACGATTATTTGTAATTGCAGCACTTATTATAATATTAATCCTCCTGTTTGTGACAATGGTAATTGGGGAATAAGTATTACTCCAGAAAAAGACATAAACATTGAGCCAAAATATAAATCACAACATATGAATGATGGGTGTAGAGCAGCATACATACCAGTTTTCGTAAACGTTACAAAGCATACACGCAATTGCAAGGTTATGGGCTCTGGCATTTTGTTTGTAGTCACATCAAACATTACAAGTGATGGTACGACTTTTATTAGTAATTCGTAACTGCAATGTAGTGTGTTTAGTAAAAGCATTTTACTGGAATACCGCGGAGTATTAACCATAATAACGGACTTCAATAAAACTGAGAAACTGCTATTAATAACGCTTTTGTAACCATAGAAAGATTTTTGCAAATTTTTGGAGGGAGTGGCATATGTCCGCTAAAAATAGGATGATGAACTACAAGTCGATTTATTTTCAGACTGTTACCGTATGGATAGATTCAAAGGGTTGGGCTCAACTGGGTTGAAACAATGATATAATTTATATTCAAGATTTACTTTCATGAAGATGATTAAGCACCATTACATTATTCAGCTGCACCACCAAACCATATGCTAAATATCAGTCAACAAGTACTTCTTTGAAATAACACGTAATTCAAGTTTCAAAAAGATATTATTACATATTCATCTTTCTGTTTATCCCCTTTCAACGCAAAACCTGATAACTTACAACTACTTATCTCGACAAATCTTCTTGTATTGAACATAAACATAAACAAAAGTAAAAAATATAAAGATGTTTTTGAAGTTTTCTAATATAGCTCTCGGAGCCAGTTCAATATCAACAATAAAACAATAACCAAATATGATAATAAAATAAAGTAGAAGAAAATACAACAAAATCAAACCTTGTAGCAAAACACTTGAGAAAAGATATCGTGATATGGTAAACTGAACTAACCATGACTGGGTTTACTCAAATAGTAAGATGTCACTATTGTGGAGCGGTATCGCCTCCTTCTCCAGTGTCACCGCCTTCTGCTGGTTGTTCACCTCCATCAGCGGGTTGCTCTCCAGTATCACCTCCATCAGCGGGTTGTTCACCAGTATCACCTCCATCAGTTGGCTGTTCACCAGTATCACCTCCATCAGTTGGCTGTTCTCCGGTGTCACCTCCATCTGTAACAGTTGGCTCTTCACCTTCCTCATCTGTAACAGTAGGTGTCACTTCGTTTTCACCCGTGTCTGTAGCAGTTTCATCACCGGTATCTGTAGCAGTTTCATCAGCCGTGTCAGTAGCAGTTTCATCATCTGTATCAGTGGCAGTTTCATCATCTGTATCAGTGGCAGTTTCATCATCGGTACCTGTAGCAGTTTCGTCATCTGTATCAGTACTGGTCTCCTCTTCACCTGATTCGGTAGCTGTTTCGTCATCGGTATCAGTGACAGATTCATCATCACCCGATTCAGTAGCTGTTTCATCTTCAATGGTAGAGTCATCAAGAATATCTGAAAGATCACGACTATCACTTGGTCCAATGGTAATAGTATAATTTGTTACAATAGTAGAATCGGGGAATGTAATAACTGATTCATAGACATAGCAAGTTTCGGTGTCAACTTCAACAACAGTAGAAGTTTTGGTTTTGTAAACAGTAGGTTGATTACCACCACCGCCACCTCCACCATAGCCTCCACCATATCCACCTCCGTAACCGCCACCGTAACCGCCACCGTAGCCACCACCGTAGCCACCACCGTAGCCACCACCGTAGCCACCGCCAGATCCACCTCCTGATCCACCTCCATAGCCATCACAATAGCCACCTCCGGATCCGCCACCATAGCCACCGCCATAACCACCGCCATAACCACCACCGTAGCCACCGCCATAACCACCACCATAACCACCACCATAACCACCACCATAACCACCACCATAACCACCACCATAACCACCACCATAACCACCTCCAGATCCACCTCCAGATCCACCTCCGGATCCTCCACCTGATCCACCTCCGCCTCCAGTACCTCCAACTGGTCCTTTACGGCATGAGTCGTATGGACAGATAGTCGTGGTGCTAACTCCTGGTGGAAGAAGCTCAATTGATGTGGTTGGACATACCAATAATGTTATGGTACTATTCTTCGTGTTTGTGGTGTATGTCGTCGAGCAATTATCTGGCACATACTCACACGTGACATAAGTGTATGTAGCTGTTTTCGAAATTGATGAAGTTAATTCACAAACAATTGGTGGCAGTGGAATTTCTATATTTGGAACTTCGACCAGACAGTCAAGTGCAGTAAATGTCTTAGTACCAATCGTGGTTTCTTCCATAGTACAGTTTTCTGGTACATCAACATTTGGAGGACAAGTAGTCAAGGTGTGTGGAGTATTCTCGAATTCGTAAACCGTGGTATTACACTCGGTTGGTGCAGGACAACTAATGGTTGTGGAAGTTACATCCCAGTCTTTTCTTTCAATTTTTAAGCACCCATTCTTAAGTGTAGAAGTCGTAGCACAATCGTAACCAATGGAAGGACCTTCAGTCTTGAATGTACAGCCATCGGTCGAGCACGTAGTCCACCAGTAAGCAAGCCCATAGTAGTCAGTACTGTTGTATTCACAATTACCATCAGCACAGTATTGGTATCCGTTGTAAATAGTACAAGCTTCATATGGCTTTGCTGGCCAACCAGGTGGGGTAGTAAGTGTTTCTTCGTCTGGACAATGGTCAAACAGGATGGTAGTGGTGTAAGGACCTTCAGAAAATGCAATTTCACAACTAACAGCAGTATCAAGTTCACGATCATCGGTCACGTCATCACCACCAGTTGGAGTGGCATCATCTCCATCGTCGTCAGTTGGAGTGGTATGATCCGCACCATCATCGGAATCAATAACATCTGGCGTTTCAATACTGCCTTCGTTTGGCAGAGTCTCAACTGGCAATCCATCATCTCCCTCCGTCATTGAGATGGTCGCTGCTTGCGTCACCGCTAAAACAGCTAGTAAAATATGTAACTTTAACATTTGTTGGTATACTTTAGCGTTGAAAAACAAAAATAAATCTGGCCAATGAATATCGGCATTCACCACGTATTTATACCCCTATCCAACCATGTTCCATCCATAATCATCCAATAAGCACCGCATACACTGCTTACCTAACACATTATCTGAACCGCTCTTCTTGCTTACTTAATACACGGGAACCCATGGATCGTTGTATGCTGAAAAAAGCTGCTAAACCGCCGTCCCCCTCCCAGTTGGTTGCTAAATTTAGGTTAGGTGTCTTTTGCCAAGTAAAATATACATTGCTCTACGTCCCGTACTTTGAACGTATTCGTTTCTTCCATTTGTTGTCGTACTGTTTGCAGTAATTACCCCAAACATAAAATGGAAAAGAAAATTAGTTCATCATCAGCATCGTTTTTGTTTGTTTGTGTGTTTGATTTTCTTTTTTTTTTTTTTCGGTGCAATGTATTTCGTAAGCAAAGAGTACAGTATCCGACGAATAAAATATTCTGAGGATACTAAGCAACAGCGTCATTACACCCCCTATTAATTAGTGTAGAGGAGTCTAGACTCATCAACCATGTAAATTGGAGAGTATACAGAGTAGCAAAGTTCCCTAGATCGTTACTGAATTTTGATTTTTCTAATCATCCGTACGACGAGTGTGTCCTTGAGAATAAATTGTTCCAGCGCATTGAGACGAACTCTGTCATGGCTTCATTCAAGCCTGGTTTTTAGCTACTGTATTTTTCAGAGATGAGATCTGGTTTAATTCAACGATGGGGGCTAGGAGAGCTGTTGGTATTTGGGTCATGTAAATTAAGAATCAAGAAATTACATTATTTGCATCAATAAAAAGAATGTGTTCCCAAATGATCTATTGTTAAGCTGTAAACATACAGGTACGAACCAGAATAATAATAGAAAATTGGAAAAAAAGAAAAGAAACGGCCCTTTTATGTAATCAAAACAGCAATCCAGCCTGATTATGGAGTAGTTACCGCAATATGCGAATCATGAAGGACTTTTGTCCTTTGAGATGCGTTCGTATAATTAAAGTGATTTACTCAGAAGGCACGTTCTTTATCCATTACCACGAATTCCGTTAATTCCAACATGAATGACATAATGGGGTTGTTGTATCTATTCCAATAAAAGTTTACAAATGTTAGTTAACCCTCCAATATGATTTTCCAAATCTTGAAATGATGAACAATACTAATTGGAAATTACTGTTAGTATTGGTTATTATTCAGATAATCCTCTACGATGTGACTGTTTCGTGGTTAAAATAAATCATTAATACTATACTGGCTTGCCTTTATATGTCAATCAATAGTATTAAGCAAAGTTGATCGAATCACTATGGCCAACGTTCATTTTTACTTTTCATTTTATTTTTTTGAAATTTATTCTATTCTAACCATTAGTTTTATTCGCAGCCTGTCTACAAATTTTATATTCAAGTTCATTAAACATATGGTAGCTCTAGCTATATTGTTTCTTTTTTTATTTTAAAAGATCATATATTTTAAACTTCCAATAAAAATAACAAAATCACATTCAGCCCCTTGATCTACTTCCTAAAAGTATCCCAATCAATTTCTTAAGGAATGATGAAAGCTACTGCAATTCTTAATAGATGTTGCTTCATACAACTCTGTATAGGAATAAATCTTGTTATATTGAACATAAACATAAACAAAAGTAAAAAATATAAAGATGTTTTTGAAGTTTTCTAATATAGCTCTCGGAGCCAGTTCAATATCAACAATAAAACAATAACCAAATATGATAATAAAATAAAGTAGAAGAAAATACAACAAAATCAAATCTTGTAGCAAAACACTTGAGAAAAGATATCGTGATATTGTAAACTGAACTAACCATGACTGGGTTTACTCAAATAGTAAGATGTCACTATTGTGGAGCGGTATCGCCTCCTTCTCCAGTGTCACCGCCTTCAGCTGGTTGTTCACCTCCATCAGCGGGTTGCTCTCCTGTATCACCGCCTTCTGCTGGTTGTTCACCTCCATCAGCGGGTTGCTCCCCAGTATCACCTCCATCAGTTGACTGTTCTCCAGTGTCACCTCCATCAGTTGGCTGTTCACCAGTATCACCTCCATCAGTTGACTGTTCTCCAGTGTCACCTCCATCAGTTGGCTGTTCACCAGTATCACCTCCATCAGTTGACTGTTCTCCAGTGTCACCTCCATCAGTTGGCTGTTCTCCGGTGTCACCTCCATCTGTAACAGTTGGCTCTTCACCTTCTTCATCTGTAACAGTAGGTGTCACTTCGTTTTCACCCGTGTCTGTAGCAGTTTCATCATCGGTATCGGTAGCAGTATCGTCATCACCGGATTCAGTGTCAGTTTCATCATCGGTACCTGTAGCAATTTCGTCATCGGTTTCAGTAGCTGTTTCGTCATCAGTTTCAGTAGCTGTTTCGTCATCGGTTTCAGTAGCTGTTTCGTCATCGGTTTCAGTAGCTGTTTCGTCATCGGTATCGGTAGCTGTTTCGTCATCGGTTTCAGTAGCTGTTTCGTCATCGGTTTCAGTAGCTGTTTCGTCATCGGTTTCAGTAGCTGTTTCGTCATCGGTTTCAGTAGCTGTTTCATCATCGGTTTCAGTAGCTGTTTCATCGTCGGTTTCAGTAGCTGTTTCATCGTCGGTATCGGTAGCTGTTTCATCGTCGGTAGATTTATGGTCATGATCAGAATCATCACTTTCACTTGGTCCAATCGTGATTGTATACTCAGTTGTTATAGTAGAATCTGGGAATGTAATAACGGACTCAAAGACAAAGCAAGTCTCAGTGATGGTATCTTTTTCAGTAATAGTTGCAGTCCTGGTTTTGTAAACAGTAGGTTGATTACCACCACCGCCACCTCCACCATAGCCTCCACCATATCCACCTCCGTAACCGCCACCGTAGCCACCACCGTAGCCACCACCGTAGCCACCGCCAGATCCACCTCCTGATCCACCTCCATAGCCATCACAATAGCCACTTCCGGATCCGCCACCATAGCCACCGCCATAACCACCGCCATAACCACCTCCATAACCACCGCCATAACCACCACCATAACCACCACCAGATCCACCTCCAGATCCACCTCCGGATCCTCCACCTGATCCACCTCCGCCTCCAGTACCTCCAACTGGTCCTTTACGGCATGAGTCGTATGGACAGATAGTCGTGGTGCTAACTCCTGGTGGAAGAAGCTCAATTGATGTGGTTGGACATACCAATAATGTTATGGTACTATTCTTCGTGTTTGTGGTGTATGTCGTCGAGCAATTATCTGGCACATACTCACACGTGACATAAGTGTATGTAGCTGTTTTCGAAATTGATGAAGTTAATTCACAAACAATTGGTGGCAGTGGAATTTCTATATTTGGAACTTCGACCAGACAGTCAAGTGCAGTAAATGTCTTAGTACCAATCGTGGTTTCTTCCATAGTACAGTTTTCTGGTACATCAACATTTGGAGGACAAGTAGTCAAGGTGTGTGGAGTATTCTCGAATTCGTAAACCGTGGTATTACACTCGGTTGGTGCAGGACAACTAATGGTTGTGGAAGTTACATACCAGTCTTTTCTTTCAATTTTTAAGCACCCATTCTTAAGTGTAGAAGTCGTAGCACAATCGTAACCAATGGAAGGACCTTCAGTCTTGAATGTACAGCCATCGGTCGAGCACGTAGTCCACCAGTAAGCAAGCCCATAGTAGTCAGTACTGTTGTATTCACAATTACCATCAGCACAGTATTGGTATCCGTTGTAAATAGTACAAGCTTCATATGGCTTTGCTGGCCAACCAGGTGGGGTAGTAAGTGTTTCTTCGTCTGGACAATGGTCAAACAGGATGGTAGTGGTGTAAGGACCTTCAGAAAATGCAATTTCACAACTAACAGCAGTATCAAGTTCACGATCATCGGTCACGTCATCACCACCAGTTGGAGTGGCATCATCTCCATCGTCGTCAGTTGGAGTGGTATGATCCGCACCATCATCGGAATCAATAACATCTGGCGTTTCAATACTGCCTTCGTTTGGCAGAGTCTCAACTGGCAATCCATCATCTCCCTCCGTCATTGAGATGGTCGCTGCTTGCGTCACCGCTAAAACAGCTAGTAAAATATGTAACTTTAACATTTGTTGGTATACTTTAGCGTTGAAAAACAAAAATAAATCTGGCCAATGAATATCGGCATTCACCACGTATTTATACCCCTATCCAACCATGTTCCATCCATAATCATCCAATAAGCACCGCATACACTGCTTACCTAACACATTATCTGAACCGCTCTTCTTGCTTACTTAATACACGGGAACCCATGGATCGTTGTATGCTGAAAAAAGCTGCTAAACCGCCGTCCCCCTCCCAGTTGGTTGCTAAATTTAGGTTAGGTGTCTTTTGCCAAGTAAAATATACATTGCTCTACGTCCCGTACTTTGAACGTATTCGTTTCTTCCATTTGTTGTCGTACTGTTTGCAGTAATTACCCCAAACATAAAATGGAAAAGAAAATTAGTTCATCATCAGCATCGTTTTTGTTTGTTTGTGTGTTTGATTTTCTTTTTTTTTTTTTTCGGTGCAATGTATTTCGTAAGCAAAGAGTACAGTATCCGACGAATAAAATATTCTGAGGATACTAAGCAACAGCGTCATTACACCCCCTATTAATTAGTGTAGAGGAGTCTAGACTCATCAACCATGTAAATTGGAGAGTATACAGAGTAGCAAAGTTCCCTAGATCGTTACTGAATTTTGATTTTTCTAATCATCCGTACGACGAGTGTGTCCTTGAGAATAAATTGTTCCAGCGCATTGAGACGAACTCTGTCATGGCTTCATTCAAGCCTGGTTTTTAGCTACTGTATTTTTCAGAGATGAGATCTGGTTTAATTCAACGATGGGGGCTAGGAGAGCTGTTGGTATTTGGGTCATGTAAATTAAGAATCAAGAAATTACATTATTTGCATCAATAAAAAGAATGTGTTCCCAAATGATCTATTGTTAAGCTGTAAACATACAGGTACGAACCGGAATAAGCTGTAAAAAGAAAAGGTCTACCTATTGTATTATGTAAAGGTATCAAAAATATTAAACAAGAATCAATTGCAGTTGTCCATTATCCATTACTTGTGAACAACGTTTATGAGTTTACATGATACAAATTCAACAGAAGTTAGAGAGAAAAAAGGGCGTAGCGCTTTGAAAATATCAATAAATACAAAGCCAAAACATTACCTCTTAATATTAGGGGTAATAGAAGTCCTTGCGATTTGTATAGAGCCTTCTTTGATTTTAGGTAGAGCTCGATGTGATTATATAAGAACGAAGCCATAAAAGAACCAAATTTCAAGATTTTTAGTTAAGTGAGAAATCAATAATATAGGCATTTAGTAAGATTATATAATCAGTATGGGTGGATGATTGAGTAATATACACGGAATTGAAGTCAGGCAAATTCATAGTAGTTTTAATAATAGAATCTCCTTATTCAGGAAACACTTCTATTTATTTTGGATATTGATTATATGATGATGAATAAGCATTTGAAATATCACAAAGCATTGCTTAATTGCTATACTGAAATTTTCGTTTCTTCTTCTCCACGTTTAAAATCTTTTCTTTTTTTTTTAGTTTTGTTGATTTCTATTTTTGTTGTTGTTTATGGCACATAATAATAATAAAAAAAACGAATGTTTTGCATCCAATCAAAAGTGGGCTTATATTTTAACATATATTACATGCATAGATTTAAATCAGCCAAGAATATAACTAACTTACAAGATTGAATTCAATAATAAATAAAGGAGAGAAGCAAAAACAAAAATATGGGGGGAATTTTAGTGATCCGTATTTCCAATCATTTACCAAAGACGAATGACCTTAGTATTTATCCATCAGCATATACCATATCTTTGGCAGTGTTGATTCAACAAAAGAACTATTTTTTTTTTCCACAATATCCGAAAATGGAATTAAACAGGGAGGCTGATGTTAACTTACGAGTGTTGAGAGCGATAACTTTGATTTGCACTGACATTAACTTTTTAGTTTTCACTGAACAAGTTAATTTCCATCATGTTTTTTAAAATCTCTTTGATATCTCATGAGTAAAAATAGAAATGTGAGAATCTAATTACCACTTGACTGTCAATTAGATGTGTGTTCAGATTACGCTATCATCAATGTTATTATAATAAGTGTCCCACTTGATTGAAGTGTCTAGTACTTTGTGGATCTAGCATCAACTGGCGGAGCTCCTCTTTTACTCCTTTTCCTGATAGATAATATAACGAACCAGAGATGTATCATCTTGTCTAGTAAATAGTGCTTTCAAAACCAAAAAGTAACAAAAGTCACGTGTGCAACTGTATTATGTAAGCAATTGTGTTAAATATGTGAATATCAGCCTCTTAGTATAATTTGGAAAATTATATGCTAAATCAAGATCATTTGATTAGCAATCACTTGGACACTAGTATCACATAATTATAATATCCATAGACAATGTATACTAGAAGAGAAGTTCAGATTCAAGTGTATTTCAAATGTACTTTCGTTTTTTTTTTTTTTTATTAGTGCCGCCCACCCACGAGT